TCATACAGTATCCACAGTTCTCCTTTTGCCGGGCCTCTAAATTTTCCATCACAATGAGTTGATCCTGCTCCTCCTTTTTCTCAGTTTCTGCTTGAGTGTTGTATGTTTTTTCCAGTAAGTTTGCACATGCTTCCTTGCACCCCTTTTGTATCGCCTCTTTCAGGACTCTGAGAAACTGTTCGACCGTCGACTCACCCACCTCCATATTTTCATCTATCTCCTCCTCCGTCCTCATTACAAACGCCATTTTAATCAAGTTCTTCAAATCAATTCATTCAGATTCCCAAAACAACGTTCTCAATACCTTTAAACCTTCTACCAGGCATTATCCTTTTTAAATCCTTGCCGATGAACAAACACAACAAAAGCCAAGAACACCAACAGCTAGTCCTTCTTTTCCCCACAAAAGAGAATAAACACTTAAAGGCATCAAGTCCTCTTCCATACTTCTCCCGGCCGCTATCTTTCTCATATCTGGACACATTTAGTTGGGATAATTTCATTTTTCTTCTTGTTTAAGACTCTGAAGTATACATACTCACACTTTCCTTGCTTTCTTCTTCTATGCTGCTGCAATTGTTATAGATATTAAACTCAGTGTGGTTAAAAACGGATGGCTGCGCCTATGTAGAACATGGCGACCATGTTCTACCCCGCCGACCGCTCCTGCTTCGGGGCAATAATGGTCACCCCCTCGCATTTGCCAGTTGTGGGAGGGGCCAAAAAAAGCCCCCTTCTCCAGCCCTCTCTCCAGGAGGACTGGTCGAGTTCTCCCCACTGTCGGAAGACTCAAAATGGAACGGAAAGGGGTCGGGCGGCTCGGAGCAGTTCGAAAGCCGCCCGTCATCACACTGTACCGGAACCGGATCCCCGTATTTGCCATTTTGTGTTTGTGTGCCGTGCATCTGCATGTGAGGGAGAGGGTAACTCACACGACTTGTTTAATTGAATCCCAGCAGCTGCTTTGTGGGTTCTTTCAGTAGTGGAACAGTGGGAGGTAAAAACGTGAAGTTGTATTAATAATAGGTGCGATTTCTTAAAGCCGTGCCAGTCCTCGCAAGGACATTACTAGCTGTTTTTCCCTCCTCCCTTCGTTGTTTTATGTCGGCTGTTTTGAGAAGCACTTTGCAACGTTCTTGGTTTGCAAGGATGATGAGTAGAGCATCATCACCACCCAGGGGAGGGGCCGTGGCTCAGTGGCAGAACCTCTGCTTGGCCGGCACAAGGTCCCAGGTTCAATCCCCAGGTTGAAATTAAATTGGAAGAGTTTTCGGCTAAACATTAGGAAGAACTTCCTGACAGGTAGAGCAGTTCCTCAGTGGAACCGGCTTCCTCGAGAGGAGGTGGGCTCTCCTTATTTGGAGGCTTTTAAGCAGGGGCTAGATGGCCATCTGACAGCAATGCGGATTCTGTGAACTTAGGCAGATCATGAGAGGGAGGGCAGGGAGAGTTTCATCAGTGCTTAGTTCTCGTGGCCCTTTCTTACACGCCCAGGGAAACACTGATCACCACTTAGGGGTCAGGAAGCCATTTTTCTCCAGGCCAGTTTGGCCAGGGATCCTGCAGGTTTTTTTGCCATCTTCTAGGCATGGAGAAGGGGTCACTGAGTGTGTGTGTGTGGGGGGGGTGTATCTGTGAATTTCCTGCCTCGTGCAGGGGGTTGGACTAGATGACCCCGGAGATGCCTTCCAACTCCATGATTTTATGATCTCCAGTAAGGTTGGAGGTGATGGGGAAGACCTCCGGCCAAGACCCTGGAGAGCTGCCACCAGTCTGAGTAGACAACACTGACCTTGATCGACTGACGGCCTGATGCAGTAGAAGGCAGCTTCACGCCTGCTCGCGTGTGTCTATCTCGCTCAATCTTACCAAGCCCTTTGAGCATCACAGTGCCAAGCAGTGTTCCCTCTGAGCTGAGCGAGTGTGAGCTCGCTCACAGTTTCTTAGCCTCCGGCTCACACGTTTTTGCCTCCGCTCAGGGCGGAGGGCTCCAGAGCAAACTGATTCATGCAGCGGCCAAATCGCTCGCTCACAACTTTAATGCCAGCGGCTCCCAAAGTAGGATTTTTGCTCACAAGAAGCCACGCTTCTGTGCTTCTTTGCTGCTACAACGCTTATCTCTAGTATTGCAGGTGGGGATGTTGATGTCTGGTTTTCTTGGGAACCGTGAGAGAGTCTTTCGTTCCCAGCTTCAGCGCTAAACAGCCGAAGCTCTTTCTCCCACGCGCGGGAGGGTGGCTCATTGGCCAGGGCAGTGGGGGGGGGGTGCATACGAATACCCTATATCCTATTATGCCCCATGGGCAGCAGTCATTCTTAACAGTGCCTATGTTTATACATCTATAGCTCTTCAATAAAGTATTACCTTTCCTGATAAGCGTGTACTACGTTGTTGGCTGTGGGTTCTGACACAGCCAAATCGCTGGCTCACCACTTTGATGCCCAGAGCTCACAGAGTAGAATTTTTGCCCAGAAGACTCCACGCCGTAGGGGGAAGCATTGGTGCCAAGTGTTGCAAAAGTGCTGAATAAGCGTACGGTAGCAGAGAATTTGTGTGCTACGGAATGTGAATGGGCACATGTGGGTTCTGCACCTCGACACGTGGCTTGCTAGGGCCAGTCTTGTCGGGAAGCAGCTTGCAGGGGCAGCAGGGTGAGGGAGAGGAGCTGTGTGTTTCGGTCTCTTGTCCATCTTGTATCATTTCCCCCCCACACACACACACAAGCTTCAGTCCACAATAAGGGAAGGCTGCTATTTCAGGGTTCACACACCTGAAAGGTGTCCTCAGGTTTGCGCTCAGCTCGAGGCTGAACGTCTGAGTCACGGTTTATTTTGAATACGCATGCACCACAGATGCGTTCAAGCAGGAAAGAATACGGTGCCGCAGCAACCCCCGTGAATATATTAAGGATGATTATTGCAATCTTTGCAGAAGAGCCACATGCAGCAATCCTTCTCGAGCTGTTTGCACTGTTTGCTGTCACACTGTATTAGATGCAAAACAAGCGGTTGCTAATTATGGCCACAGGACAGAAACGATATAAGAATATAAGAACATAAGAGAAGCCATACTGAATCAGGCCAGTGGCCCATCCAGTCCAACACTCTGTGTCACACAGGGGCCATTAGGAGGTCCACCAGCGGGGCCAGAATGCCAGAAGCCCTCCCAGTCTTGCCCCCCAAACATCAAGAATACAGACCATCATTGCCTCAGAAATTGTGTTCCATCTATACCTTGCCTCTGATGGACCTCTGCTCCATATGTTTATCCAGTCCCCTCTTGAAGCTGCCTGTGGAGCCAGTTTGGTGTCGTGGTGAAGTGCGCGGACTCTAATCTGGGAGAACCGGGTTTGATTCCCCACTCCTCCACTTGCACCTGCCTGGATGACCTTGGGCAAGCCATAGTTCTGGCACAGCCGTTCTTGAAAAAGAGCAGTTTCTGTCAGAGCTCTCTCAGCCCCACCTACCTCCCAGGCAGTGTTCCCTCTAAGCTGAGTTAGTGTGAGCTAGCTCACAGTTTCTTAGCCTCTGGTTCACACGTTTTTGTCTTAGCTCAGGAAGGGATGGCTCCAGAGCAAATTAATTTATGCAGTGGCCAAATTGCTCGCTCACCACTTTCATGCCAGGAGCTCACCAAGTAGGATTTTTGCTCACAAGACTCCATAGCTTAGAGGGAGCATTGCTCCCAGGGTGTCTCTTGTGGGGAGGGGAAGGGAAAGGAGTTTGTAAGCTGCTCTGAGACTCCTTTGGTAGTCTCAATCTCTTCTTTTTCCTCTATCCTTGTAGCCATCACCACTTCCTGCAGCAGTGAATTCCACGTGTTAATTACTCTTTGGGTGAAGAAGGACTTCCTTGTATCTGTTCTAAACCTACTGCTCATTAATTTTATTGGGTTCCCACGAGTTTTTGCATTGTGGGAAAGGGAGAAAAGTACTTCTTTCTCTACCTTCTCTATCCCATACATAATTTTTGTAAACCTCCATGTAACCTCTGTATGTTGTAAGCCTCTAAGTACAACAGCAGTGTATTTGGCTAGCATGGGCCTAAGAAAAAATTAATCTTTCCTTGGCTCCTGAAAGAAAGCAATCAAAGTGCCCAAGGGACTTCACTGGGAAACAGATCACTTTTACATAACCACTGTTTTGCAAGGGTATGCGCTTGACTGCGTTCACATGGAGACGTTGGTCTTTCTCGTTCCCGTTTTGCAGGCGCAGGAACAGCGTACGATTGCCCGAAACGAGAATGGATCCATTTTCCAGTCATCTAGATGATAAACTAATGCCCTGATCTGAGGAAAAATGGGGACAAGACATAACTGCCTTTAGCAGGCGTCTCACAGCCATCACTTTCTCTCTCTCACACACACACAACACACACACACACACACACACACACACACACACCCCTTTTATTCCCCCTTGGGCCAAGTTTGTTTATTTTTGTTTTCTTCATTCATACCGCACCTTTCTCCCCAAAGCAGCTGGCATTATTCTCCACACCTGCATTTTATCTTCACGACACCCCTGTGAGGTGCAGTGCTCCCTTCTAAGCAGTGGAGTCCTGTGAGCAGGGATCATTTCCTGCAGGAGCGCACAGGAGCGGCGCTCCAGCAGTAAAGAGCCCAGGGGGCGGGCATATGCAACAAGCCCCGCCCCCTGCTCCCAGCAGCCCTCAGTCAGAGCAAGAAGCAGCTAGGTAATTTACAAAGCCCCCCACCCCAGCTCCCCGGTGCAAAACAGTCCAGTGGCACCTTTAAGACCAAGTTTTATTCAGGCACAAGCTCTCCCTCCTCTGTGAGGACAGATCTGTGCGTCCCCCCCCAATGATCCCTGCCTGTGAGCACAAATTCTACTTTTCTGAGCAACTGGCATTAAAGTTGTGAGCAAGCGATTTGGCTAATGCATGAATTAGTTTGCTCTGGAGCCCTCCTTCCTGAGCGAAGGCAAAAATGTGTGAGCCGGAGGCTAAAAAAAACCGTGAGCTGGCTCACACTAACTCAGCTTAGAGGGAACACTGGTGGTAGGTTAGGCTGAGAGTGTGTGACCAGCCCCGGGGGCCCCAGCAAAGCTTCCCTGGCAGAGCGGGGATTCGAACCTGGGTCTCCTTGTCTGACAAGCTAACCCTTACGCCAAGCTATGCAACCACCCACCACACTGGATGGGCTTTAAACCCGGCTTGTTGGCTTTAACCTTTTCCCGCAGATCGAACAAGTGAGCCAGCTCTCGGCACTGGTGGAAGCTCAGCTTGTCTACCACAAGCAAGCGGTGCAGATCCTGGACGAGCTCTCAGATAAGTTCAAGCGAAGGCAAGTGCGGGGGGGGGGGGGG